TCATACTGCAGGTAGACGCTGCACAAATCATCATAGCGTTTCTGGAGCCTGAACCCAGAATCGGCGTCATTGTCATCTGAAACAATGAACAGATTTATGCAAACGCTGCGGAACGGCAAAACAGCTCACAATATGACCATCATTCCAAGAATATTTACCAAAAACTTCACCAGGCATAAAAGATTGGTCAGAAAATTAAAAAAAGAATCAGTTGAAACTCTGTGTTGCGCTCATCAGGCGCCTATGAAATATTACGTACGCAGACAAAATCCATGACAGCTAGACGACTGGTCGCCAGAAAAGTGCATTCAGCGTGTCAAATAATCCTATTTTGATCAACACAAATCTTGGGATGAAAAGCTCTGCAGAGCAAGCTTATAGACAAAAGTGTATTTCGCGATTAGTGAACTAATCGCTTGCTGAAAGTCTTGTTCCACAGACTTTAGTAGAATGCCACGAAAAGTTCAGAACAAAAATGCCTCTCTCTCTATGAGCTGTGTTTGTCACACTGAGTTCAGAGAACTATTGTCTGATTATTAGACGTAAAAATCGCAAAACGTTTATGGGTCTCCAGCTCAGTGAGCTACATTTTTTTATTCAAATGACATAGGTATGCTTTAAGTCAGGTTGTAGAAATTACCTTACAACCTTTCTGAGTTTTAAAATAAAGACGAGGAAAAACACCTTACGGATTTTAAGTCCAGCCTTGACAACGTCTAGCGTCCGAACGTGTTTTCTGCGGGAAGTCTCCGAATGTTGAATCGTTGTAGGTTTGCTAACTCATAAAATGTCACCCGAAACTCCAAAAAGATTCATTAAGTAGGGTTATAATACTAATCAGCTTGCAACATACTTCTTTTAGATTGAAAGTAACTCAGGATGCCGGCTTTCAAATGGACTGCCTTTCGGCTGCATGCAAAAAACTACCTTATATAAAAATGACTACTTATGTAGCATGAATTTTTCGAATTTATTTTCGATGACTCTAAAAGTCCAATTGTATTTCATAGAAAACATGCATTAAAGTATTCATTCTCTGGTTCATTTGGTAGAACATTATGTCTTCTTTCAATTTTATACCCAAAGGAATGACAGAATTCCTTTTAAAAAAGTTTCTAATTGTGGGACTTTTAAATACTTTGGAATGACCGTTCATAAATCATCATGCCTCGGCATTTACCAGTGTGGTTTGTAAAGTTAACAATAAAGACCGAATCCACTGCTAAATTTTATGAACCCTATATATTCCCTCTTTAATACCCTAGGGAAATGTGTGGTTTGATGTACGCGAAAAATATCCGTCTTGTAGTTTCAAAATCCTGAATCCAAATGAAACGGTAGAGCGGGTTCAAAATTATTCGGGAATCGGAAACGTTTTTGAAAACCATATTATTCATCTCCTTCGAGCATGTACTTGGAAGAAGACGTTATTTTCTACCAAAAGAACAAGAGAATGAATATTTTTATGTATGATTTCCATGAAATATAATTGAATGTTCATGACCATCGGAAATCAATGAGAAAAATTCATGTTACACAAGTATTCATTTTTACATGCATGCAGCCGAAAGGAAGTTAATTCGAAGGCCGGCATCCTGAGATAACTGAAATATTATAGAATTATTTTGCAGGCTGACTTGTTTAACAGCCCTATTTAATCAATGTTTTCGGAACGAAAACGAATTTCGGAATATCGGTTGACATTTCATGATTTAGTTCACTTACTGTATATTTATTACCATTCTGCGTTTTAAAGCAAAATAGTTCTATTGGTGACAACGCACCGGCGGATTTTATCTTCATCAATAAGGAGCTATGGAATGCGATTCTAGTTCTTACTTTCCGATAGTAGCTTCCGCGATGGAACGGGTCTTATTCTTTATTAACATCATGTTGGCTGTTAATAATCTCACTTAGTCAAACTGTAAACTATGTCCAGTCAAATTACACAGCTCATTAAAGTAAACACAAATGGAGCCTTTTCAGTAACTGAGAGCAATAATCAAATACTACTGCATTACCAGTAGGTAATTTAATGAACAGCAGTAACTTCACGGCAGCTTGTATAACATCAGCGCGAGGAGATTTTTTTGCAAATAGACTCTTTTCTCCTTACACTAGAAGAATTAATCTCACAGCAAAATTAAAAAGAATACAAAAGGCCGTCCCGGACGCCATCGTCAGCCCCCTGCATCAATGCAAGATGACCTAGATTTCAGACCCGGGAACTCTTTTCATTAGAACATGTGGTGTAATCGGTTACAATGGACGTAATAAAATGAATCTAAATAAAGCACACCAAAGCGCACTTTAAAATGTCAGGCAAGCTGTGAAAGAGAGTCCAGCATAGCATATGAAATTGGATTTAAATTTGCAACCACGGCTACACTTTTGGTCAGATACCAAATAGAGCACAATAATTCCTGTCAAAAACAATTACACCAGTCTAAACTACGCTCAAAAAGTAAATCATAGTTTTTAAAATTAGATGTTTGACTTTAAAAATTAAATTGTGTCAAGAAGGCCTGTCATCCTACATGAAATATGCAAAAATCTTTTTTGCGGGGGTATTTTTTAACTAGACTGAATCGAGACCTGACATCTACTTATTTTGCCTGACCAAGAAATTTCAGATGCAAATGATTCAGTAACTTCAACCTATTCTGCAGTTTTGATGAATATTTTGCTGCCATGAATATCTTTCACAGGGCATTCTCGAGGCTGAAAATATGAAGAGGAATTAAAGTCAATTTTTTCCATTCCTTTGATGAGCGTCCCTCCCATTAGATCATAAATCAATGCAACGATTATTGTTGAGACGCCAGAAATACCATTATGAGCCATTAAGACCTTACGCAATTCGGCCTGTGTGTATCTTTTCAATCCTTCAAAATTGACCCCTTTTGTATCCAAAGGGAGGATACCTCATTATCCATTATCTCTTTATCTAAAGGGAGATACGTCGCAAAACTTCCATCTCAGCTCTTCTCCACCACTCTTCTATCAGAAGTAAACGTGTGTATTAACCCATTTAAATTAAAATAACCAGAGATTTAAGCATAAAAATAAATTATTCAGTCGTTAAAAATGCCACTTATGCTGTCTTTGCTTTTGAGTGTGCTTAGTAACTGTCGGAATGTACATCTAATCAGAAAGCGAGTTGTCGCACCATCACTGTCGAAAAGTAAAAATGATGTTTACTCTTCAAACTTATATTGCAGACAGTTCTGCAGGAGCAGGCTTGCCTGAAATAAACTAATCAGAACGCTTTAAATCTCCGATGACATTTAGCCAAAGTGGTTACGGTGATCGGGAACTAAACCCCCTTTGGTGGAATTAGGATTCATGGAGAGTGGAAGGATTGCAGCTAGAAATATTCCTCTGTATTTTTGTATGTTTGGTTTTCGTGTTCCTTATAGTTTGCTTTGTGGTAATGAACCAGTGTTGACACGTCTGACACAGAAAAGACATTACTGATTTGCAATGATGCGCTGTCTGTTAATGGCGTTTCGAGTGTCTGCTAGACAGCCTCATTGTGATAGTAACCTACAAGGCCTTGAAATAGTCGGCTTAGGAATAGTGCGGCGGATTTTATGAAGTTATTTTTATCATTATTTCTTATGGCCAGAGCAAATACCTAATTTTTGAAAATCGCACCCTCCCTGATTGAAATGCACGATGTACTGATTACATTAGATGTATACGAAATTATTTTTGACGTCCGTCTATCAAATTAAGCAGCAGACGCATCATTTAATGATATATGAAGCTCAAACCTGCCTACTGTCATCCTTTACGGACGTATTTTTTGTGCCTGCCAGCAAGTAAATATTAAGAAATGCACGGTACTACTGTGTATATTAACTCCTGACATTACTGCTGTCTGGTATATTATAGTATTTTTTTACCGTGCCTTTATATTGAAAACTGTTTTCCGAAATATATTTTAGTTAACAACGTCAAATTAGTTGAATGTCGAGCATTAATTTACACACTCCTCATAGTGCCGTCGAAACTAAAGTGTCAGAGAAAAAAACAGTTCTATAAATTTTGATGCTCTTAACTGACATAAAATATGGAGTAGAAAATGTTAGCCAAACTTGAAAATAGGTTTTTTGGCAAATCCATCCATCATATAATCCATGAGGTCTCATACTTCCCAAAGTGCGGTCGCACTCTTTCCCCTGCATTTTATCATTCCTCTGGTTGCAGACACAGATTACAAGTAGGGGTAATTGGACCGCCATTTAAATTTAATTTTTTTGTCACTTTTACACTGACTGCCTAGCTGTGGTTCATAGAGTTTCCTAGGCAATCAAAAGAGCGTTTGCAGATTTCCGAAAAATTGTCTAGAATACGTCCAAATGGGCGCGACTACAGTGTCTTCCGTGATGGCTTACAGTTGTACGAGTAAAGAAATTCCCTGTTTTAAAAATGCAGCTTCTCATTTTTCCAGTGCTTATGTCATTTGACTTGCATTAAAATAATAAATCTGCTAGGTTTGGTGTTGCTGGCCTATCATACCGACGACAAGTATTTGGGTTACATTTTATCACATGAGTTTAATTAGGCCTGGAAAATGGGCAATGCAGTTTTCAGAAAAACCACAGCCGTCCTAACTGATCGGTCATAATACTTGATCCCAATTTTCACACCGTTCCATGTGATAAATATGCAAATGACATCAAAAAATCATCTGGAACTCTCCTCATTCTGGAGAACTACAGGTAGTACTGTTAACTTTTAAATCCACGCACACACATTTCCACTTAATTCTTTTTTTCGTTCTCGCGGCTGCTATTAATACATAGATTAAGAAATATTGCGCAACGTTAAGTAAAAAAGTAATCCTCCAGATTATGCATCCATAAAATAATAACGACTAACCCCTGGCAGTTTCGATTTCCTGTCGACCGTAGCTCCGTTTCCAATTGGGTGAAAATGTACCACGGGCCCCACACTGCTTTTTCAGGTTATTTATCAGCGTCTGACCGCACATGATTCGTGGGGGGTCATTGGGATCAGAGACAGTCCGCTTGCTCACCAACCCGCTAGCCAAGGCGAAGTCAACATCCTGCGTAGAACCGATCAACGGTTCGTCGCGTCCCCCTAGAAGACGCCTCAGCGAAAGCAGTTGGCTCAGCGGAGTCACAGAGCGTGCTGCAGAGGAATCAATCCAGACGAAGATCAGTAGGACCGAGAAGATGAGGCGCAAGCGCAGAGAACGTCCCAGGAAGTGCCGACATGGGGAAGTGGCCGTCACATTTGCCTGTGACACGGAAGCGGGGGAGGAGGGGCAGGAGAAGGAGGAGGAGGAGACTGGGGCGGGGAAGAGGAGGCTAGATTTAAGGCATACGCCGGTCCACATGGATGTTCGGGGTCAGACTGTAGTGCGGATCGCCCTAAGCCTCCGACTCTTATAGTTTCCGTCCGTGGGAAGCCCAGCGGCCACATGTGTCCAAAGACGACAGAGATTGGCAACCCTTTGCCCAATCTTTTTCCTCAGAACGGCGCTCGCAGTGTGGAGGGGGAGAGGGATGAGGTAGCGCGGCTGTGCCACCCAGCCCCCTGCTGGCGAACATGTGTGCATTCACACCGAAAACCGTGTAATAGCGCTTTACGACGCACGCGCGCATACTGCCTACATGGCATACGCGATAACCAAATTACGGCACATTTCGGCATTACGATCTCAGCTGTCGTTTTCTTGCGAAATAATTAAACAAAACAGAGTTGCGCGGGAGATTAAAAATTCTGCCACAAACTGACCTCATGATGAAGTTTTTAAAACCTAATCAACTCCTCTCGTCCATAATAATCTACTGATTTTTCATATTTTGAATTGTTTGTTCGTTGTATCCCCATGTGCCCGATAGTCACCCCTTTGAATCTACCTCAAAACTTTGAGTGAAGATGGTCAATACATGTCGTTTATATCTTTTATAGTGCCAAATATAATGAAGCGGAGATTTGAAAGAACTCCACTGATGTAAATCTGCATTTCAGCTTAACAAAAGTTTAAGATTTTTTTATTACATAAGTTTCATGGATAGGAAATTCGGATGCAAGCCTGCCATTACACTAGTGAGGCAGCAGGTACGTGATCGGGTGTGTACTTTACGTGGAATGCACACACAGTGTCAATACGTCGCCGGGCTGAAAGAAGAAATCAACGAATATCTCTAGCTAAAATGTTATTTTTCGGAAAGACGTTATCTTTTGTAACGAAACTAAATACTCACGTGAATAATGCCATTTTTATGTTGTGCTATTTTATAGTCAGTCGCAACTACATATATTTTTAAATAATTCACAGTATGAAGCCATTCTTTCTATGCCTACTTTTAAATGACTTTAAAAGAATGATCGCTCCTTAATTGCCAGTTGTACGGCTCAAATGCATTGCCTCGAAAGTTTAGAACAGACTTTATGGACACTCAAGTCGTCACCAATTACAAAAAAACAATAGCTTTAAAACTAACTTGTAGAAAAGTTGGAGAACTTTAGCCTAAAAGTCAACAACCGCGAAGATACGGCGGTGCCTATTTTGAAACGTTTCAGGTTCGGTTGTAGGATATGGCCGTCCAGCTGGAAAAAAAGACTCGATTACAAGTGATAAAACCTGACTAGCATATCGTCTGTTAGTTGTATAAATAAAAGTGGTCAAAAATTTTCCCCCGTACTTTGATGCTAATTTTAGATCTCAGTAAAACGAAAGAAGCACATGCTTAAGTCTAAAGTCACAATTCTGCATAACACCTGTTTAGCGTAAGTGTGACGTTTTAGGCTTTACCAAAAAGAGATTCTCATAGATTCGTTGTCAGGTTAGCACTCGCTGCTTGGTTCCATTCGGAAGTGCCGTTTCATCCAATAAAATGGGAAATCAATCTGACTTTGCGTGATAAATCTTTGTTCTCCGCCTTTTAGCTCTCCGTTTCGGCCATACGTGTGCCTTGTTTCACTTTGGTTTGGTGCAATGAGTAGTTTTTGTTTGTAAATTCGGAATCGTCTTGCCTGTAAAAAGTTAGACCGTAAGTAATTTGCGCCCGGTCTGTTTTTAGTACGGCAGTCATTCAAAAAAATAACAATTGGTCAATCCCTAGTCCAAAGGACTTCTGACAGAAGAATCGTACGTGAGACATTTTTCTGTTATATTTAATGGTGCTTAACAGCAAACAACACTTTGGTCTGCAACAGTGTTGCATCGCAATGTCGCATTAATGATCACTTTTTGGAGCCGCAGACAAATCGTCGATTCTTCTAGTCGTATTGTACCGTAGGAACTTCTCATGCATCGGTTTTTAAGAGCGTATGTCGACTTAAAAAGACCTTTAAAGACGTAATTAGCGAAATATTGAATGCGCGGTCATCACTTCATGAACACAGGTGTCCACTTCGGCGGCGGTGGTGGTCGTGATCGTGGTCGTCGTAAACATCTCTCTGCCTCAAGCACTGTGACGTCCTAACACTATTTGTTTGCATCGTAAACCAGGTTAATGCCTTAAAATAACAGCAGACTGCGATGCCAGATTCAATGCAAAATGTTAGACTCTTCCTAAGTGAAATATTTTTTCGGTGATACATCACGATATTTGTCAAGACATGTAGTCCGCTAACGGCTTATGAGAAGGGAGTCACCAGCTCCAATGGTAGCAATAATTTCGGATATATGAAAGTGCCGTTTTGCGACTGTAATAACCAAAATGCTGTGGACCAAAAACTTCACATCATCCGATGGGAGCTACGATGATAATTACAATGGTGTTTGGCAAATTTCTTATCAAGTCTAGCAAACTACTAAACTCCCGCTGACTCCGTGGAATATGGGCAGTTTTGGAGATAGCATCTCTAATCAACATGGATGGAATATACATAAACTGACCATGGAACGCGGCGTTGAAGGAACGTACATGTATCACACCAAACACACAATGCGTGACCGATCTCACGAATACACTTTTTTCGACCTCCCATAATGGACACAATTGGTAAAAAATGACTGCTAAAAAAGCATGTATTTTTCATAATGATTTTTGATGGTCATATAAATCCAAATATTTCTTACAGAAAATATTCACGAAAATATGCTTTCTTTTACTTGTTCGGTAGAAAGTAACACTGACTTTACATTTTATACCAGAAAAAGGTGTAGGTTTAGGTTTTAAAAACGTTTCTCATTATGAGATTCTTAAAACCGTACGATGCCCATACATAAAGCATCGCACATCTCCGTTTACCAATGCTCCTAGGAACACGTACAACATGGTCCACATCCACTGCAAAATTTTATGAACTCAATATGGTAACTTCTCAAAGGCATAGAGGCATATACAGTGCGTGATACACACTTTCTTCGAGCACAATACATAAAGGCAACGTAATTTTTTACCAAATGAGCAAAAGAAAGCACATTTAGTGCATGTTTTTTGTAAAATATATCTGAATTTATTAGACTATCGAAAATCGTTGGGAAAATGCATGCTACTTATGTAGCCATTTTTTACCGAGTGTGGTTTCCGCAGGAGATCTAGAAGAAGTGCATTTAAAAGCCGACATCCTGGCAAGTCCGAAATTTTATAGGGTTATGCTGCACGATAATCAGCATAACATCCCCACCTAGATAATCCTTCCAAATTGAAAGGGCATTTCAGAATTTCGGCCAATATTTCATGAGATCGGTCGCGCACTGTACGTCGTCTGTCGAGTTCTCCTAAATTTAACCTATACATTAACGACTTCCGCTTTATATTTCGAGGTATTGCTGTGATTATGGACAGCACTAGCGTCCAAGGTAATTCTCAATCCCTGGTACTGCCTCGTATCTACTGTAAGATCGAAGAATTACGTGAGGCATTAAGACGCAGCTGTAGTGTCCTGCAAAGTTATTGGGGTTCGGGACTGGTTTTGCGAAACCTCAAAAATAGTTCTTACAGATGAACTATTGAAGTCAGAACCCCGACAAGCAGATGAGCATAACTGCTTTATAAAAAATACACTTTATGCTATCGCGTTAAATTGGGACATTTGCAAATGATAACTCTAAAATTTCCCGATTGTGTCTACTTGGAATCCGTATGCACTGTTCGTCCTCCCTTTACTGCTGGCAAACCAAACATTCCCACATAAACCTCCTCAACTTCGATGCACTTTAGCCCATTAATCGTGGTTAAAACCGGTTCCTATCAACCATCACAATCCCTCTTGATCAGTTAAGATAGCCTATAATGCGCTTTAAACACTCGACTGCGCACTTTTCCAAAGCGTTGGAGTAAGTTGCTGGTTATAAGCGGACAAAATCAGACAAATGTATGCATGAGTAAAACAAGTCAGTTTCTGAGGTAGTTGCGCCCGGGATTGTTTTTGATGTGTTCACTCGTTGTACTAACATAGGTTGAAGTCAACAAGTTTCATTTCGTGGGGAACGGTAAACAGAGTTTTAGGACCTTTCATTAAACACTCTTCAGTGTACTCCTGAACTGTCATCGGAAGGGGACTAGCTTCGTAAACCTCCTGTGATGGACAGCACTCGAGCATTCAGTACTTTTGAGGGTTTTGTTTTGTCTAGCATTTTTGAAATTTTTTTATTCTACAAATGACTAATATAAGCCATGAGGACAAATGCCTGCATTAGAACGAATGCCTAAAGGAACAAGAGATGACTAAATTCTCGGGCTGCCTATACTGAGAACTCTGATTATTAGGAGGTGTTTTCCTAGAAAACTTCGTCTTCCCCTATGAATCAAACTTTCATCAAATTACCTGATTTTCGAGTGTTTTAAGCAAAGTTGTCAGTGAAGGTATTAGTAAAACACTCAGTACACTCCAGCAATTATAAACTTTTGAAATAACGAAACACTGTATCATCCAGAAACCCGAATATTCAGAACAAATTATTAAAACCTAAAAACTCGAAATGGTTGCACTCATAGTTTCCTGAAGCATTCCATTTGACAACTCCTTGTAAAGCACCGAAAAAGTTATCGTTTTGCAGTGCTAGTTGGCCTTTTTAAGGCCACCTTCCTTGACCAGCACAGTCTCGGGAGATTCGGTGAAATTATGAGAAAAAATCAGTACAAAACCATTCTGTAAACTTGGGAGGAACCACTGTGGAAAAACATGCCAAACTCTCCATGTTGGAAAATGTAGAGATAACAGGGACTTAAATGCTTAAAAAGCCAAAGAAGCGACAGATAGATCATATTCGTACTAAATGCATTTCAGAAAGAATGAATTTTACTCCTCGGTGCAGAACCGCACTTACTTCGGTGGGCAGGATAAAGTTTCTACATCTTCGCCCATCAAAACAGTCCCATCATCCTGAATAACGCCTTGCCATTAGACGATTCGGATTTTGCTGTGTGTTCCGGT